GGTCCTGTGCCTGATACCTGTGAATGGCTGATTCTGCTTCCCTTTTTCTGGCAGGCACAACCCATTTGGGATTGTCCATCCTGCCTGCTTTCTTAGAAAGGGTTGTTTTCCCCTTTGACTAGACTCCTCAGCAGGATAAACATGGCAGGAGGAGGTGAGGCCAGGGTTGGAGGATGGGGAAGAGGGGATTGCTTGGGTCCTTTTCTCCCCCTGGGCTCCAGCTGCTGCAGCAATAGTTTAGCAGCAGCTAAGTGAGGATGATTAATCTGGATGATTGTGACCTCAGAGAATAACCAATATGTGGACCTTCACCCCAGCTCTGAAACAAACCATCAGAAATAGCACTCATTCATTCATTCATTCAACAAATATTTATTGAGCACCTACCACGTGCCAGGCACTTGATTTCTGCTAACAGGAACACTGTCTATATGAACAAATAGATCACTCCTTTGGATACATCCTATACAGTAGCCCCCCCCTTATCCTCAGTTTCGCTTTCTGAGGTTTCAGTCACCCGAGGTCAATGGTGGTCCAAAAATATTAAGTAGAAAATTCCAGAAACAAACAATTCATAAGTTTTAAATTGGGCTGCCGTTCTGAGTGGTGTGATGAAATCTCCCATCTTCCCTGTCCAGCCCAGGACGTGAATCATCCGTTTGTCCAGCTTATGCACACTGTATACACTACCGGCCCATTACTTAGTAGCTGTCTGGGTTATCAGATCAACTGTCTTGGTATCGCAGCACTTGTGTTCAAGTAACCTTTATATTACTTAATAATGGCCCCAAAGTGCAAGAGAAGTGATGTTGGCAAAGAGAAGCCATTAAATGAAATTGCTTCCTTTAAATGAAAAGGTGAACGTTCTTAACTTAATAAGGAAAGAAAAATCGTATGCTGAGGTTGCTAAGATCTACGGTTGATCTGAGGTTGCTAAGATCTACTATTGACCTGAGGTTGCTAAGATCTACTTTTATTACAGTATATTGTTATAATTGTCCTATTTATTATTAATTGTTGTTGTTAATCTGTTACTGTGCCTAGTTTATAAATTAAACTTTATCATAGCTATGTATGTATAGGAGAAAACATAGCATACATAGGGTTCAGTACTATCCACAGTTTCAGGCATCCACTGGGGATCTTTGAACTTATTCCCCCGAATAACGGGGGGCTACTGTAATCCTCAATATGCTAAGTAATAAATAATTATCATAAAGTGACTTCAGCCCACTGCACGCACCTAAAAACTGGATATGATAAATGAGGGGTAGACTGTACTAGGATTTCATCAATTTTGCTCTGCTCTTATCAATATGGAAAAATAACATGAAGAGGCTAATTGCTGCATTTTGGCTTCCTGACTTTTCTCCCCACCCTATTTTCTATTTTGGTTGCTCTAAGTAACTCTTATCAGTTTTTCTAACCCCACCATGATAACCTGATCTCTCTCCTTTCCATTAACTAGGGCAAAACAAGGCACACGTATTCTGTTCGATGCATCTTCACAGCCTTCATTCACCACAGCCAGGTTCTCATCAACCTATGCCTAGGTGACTACCGGAGTCTTCTCGCTGGTCTCTTGGCACTGAGTGACCCCCCACAACAATTTTACATACCATTTTCAGACTTATATTTGTACCCCTTCTCCTACAACCACAATAGAATTTTACATTTACTTGTAATTATACAATTAATGTTGGCTTCCTGCACTGGATGGTAAATTACATGATAACAGGGACAAAGTCTCACTTTGCTCACTGTGAATTTGTGATGCCTAGCCTAGCACCTGACAAGTATTAGACCCTTGAGAAATATCTATTCGATAAATGAATATTATTCTTAAGCATAGATTGTTTTTCTTATTTATTGTTAGAGTCAAGACTCTGCTTTACTCAAGGTCGAGGCTTCTTAAACCAAACCCAAAAGGCTCAGCTTGATGATAATGAACCTCCATTAATCACACTTTCATTCCCTTCACCTTTAAGGGGTACCCTTGCTCAAGCCACATACCTCCCATTCCTCTCTTCAGAAAATGCTGTGGGTGTTTCCATTCCTCTGCACTTGCTCATGTTCTATTTTAAACCAGAGATCTGTTCCTCCAAATTGTATGACAAATACAGTGACAACTGTATTACTTCTAAAGAATTTGAGTTTTAGAAAAATCCTAGAGAACTTCTTTTAAAAACCCTCACTTCTAGAGTGGCCATGACCCAATTAGTGACTCCTGAATATGGTAACACAAACATAGCAACAACACTAATTTCAGGAATTAACCCAAAATTTGAGAATTTAAAGCCATTTTACCTTATTAAGAATCAAATGCACCAGGTGGTCCCTTCTCAAATTTTGTTTGTTCTTATATAAAGTAAAAATAGATTATGAATAAAAATGTGATCACTTCCTGCAACAATTAATTCATCCATGAGACCGTTTTTGCTGGCTGCTTTAATCGAAACACTTACAGCTCAAGAGCTCCCAATGGGCTTCCAACAGTACATTATAATTTTTTTAAGTGTTCTGTGATCAAATATGTTGAAGAAACTCTGGTACAGTGTATTACAAGCCAAGCAAGGGCAGAGATTTTTAAAGGAGAGCATAGACAGTAGTATCAGATCCTGGAAAGGAAAAGGAGAATGAAAAAAAAGAGCCGTTGATGTTAGCAACTTTTTGTATTTACAAACATTTGCAGAAGAATTTTAAAACATCTAAAACCAAAGTTTATACTATTCCCAAAGATGGAAATGTTAGCAATATTACTCCTCTTCCCTAGAGAGGAGAAAAAATACTCACTCAAAATAATAGTATACAATAAAGTTCTTCTGATTGTGCATTCTTTTTTTTTGGTCACCAAATAAATCTAGAAGATTAAGTTTCCCTCTCCCAAAACTATGGTGCCATGGCAAGGGTGTCATTAAGTATAACATACAGTAAAATAAAGCTGTACTGGCACAAAAAGCATATAAATTATGCACACACACATTCAAGAATTAAAATCACCTCAGTAAATACACTTTTTGTGTCATAAAGTAAATCATAGTATGGAAGAGTAAGGAGTTTGAAGATGAAGGGCTAGGTTTTGATTGGGGGTCCAACACTGATTAATAGTGAGATTTTCAACAAGTTGCTTATCTGAGTTGCTGTGAAGAGTAAATGACTTTACATGTGTAAATTTTAAAAACATATCACAATGCTGCTGTGAATTCATGTCATGAATTCGCCAAAGTTGTGAGAACTAGATAAGGGGGAAAGAGCAGAGGCATTGACAACAGCTCTCACTGAGCATTTACTATGAGCCAAGTACTGTACTAAGGGCTTTCCTTCTCTTGTTAATTCCTCACACGTACCCAACGTAGTACTGTATTAGGTGGAACCATGGGAATGAGCCATTTCTGTAGATCAAAAGTGGTCAATTATCAGCAATTTCATATGGTTTAAACCATCATCTGCCCAGATTGGAGAAAATGAAACACAGAGAGACCCATCATTTGCCCAGATTGGAGAAAGCAAAACACAGAGAGACTAAGTGACCTGTCTAAGTTAAAAAAGCCAAGGGGCAGGCCGGGTGGCACAAGCGGTTAAGAGCGTCCACTCCGCTGCGCAGCCCGGAGTTCGCCGGCTGGAATCCCGGGCATGCACTGACACGCACCGCTTGGCAAGCCATGCTGTGGTGGTGTCCCACATAAAGTGGAGGAAGATGGGCACGGATGTTAGCCCAGGGCCAGTCTTCCTTAGCAAAAAAAAAAGGAGGATTGGCAGATGTTAGCACAGGGCTGATTTTCCTCAAAAAAAAAAAAAAAAGCCAGAACCTGGTAAAGTCAGGTTTGCAAGCCATGCAGGTTTATGTCAGTGACCAATATGCTATACAAATTCGCAGCAAGGAGGCAGGTCTAATAGCTTAGGAGGTGTAACCTCTAAGCTTTAATCAAGTATTATATGTATAGTATTAGAGAATATACAAAAAGTCAAGAAATCATGCCATAGCAAATTCAGCATAAGAATCAAATGTTCACATTAATTATAATAGCCCATGTTTGTTCCTGCATCTGGGATTACCCTTCTCTTCAATCAATTCTTACTCACCTTCATTCAGCCAACAAATATTTACTCAAGACCAGGCTCAGTTTCTAACTTCCTACGAGAAGGATCTTCTTTTCCACCCCTCCTCTAACTCTTGCCAACTGGAATTCATCTCTTTTCAATAGCGTTTTGCCTTTTATTATACCTGATTACTTTCAACGAAAGTAAACGTCTCTTGAGGAAAGCTCAATAAATGTTCAATTTGAGGTTCATATCAAGTCTACCATATATGAAATTTAATAGGAGTAAAGAATCACAACACCTCTAAGGGAATGGGTGATCAAGTCTTCCCCAATCTCCCCGGTTTAAGTGTTCTCTTTCATCTGAACTCCTCTGGAAACCGCCCTACGATATTCTTATATTATCGCTTACTGTTTCATATGCTTGGACTTTGTCTCCGGAACTAGAGTTTAAGTTTTTCAAGGGCAAAGATTAAGCCTTATTCTTTGACTTCAAACACTGCCCCGCAAATAGTGTAAATCAAAAGACCTTAATTAAAGGATACGTAGAAAAATGAGCAGTTCCAGGGAAAGTCCTTGAGAACGGAAATGAACTAAGAGGGTAGTAAAGCAATGGAGAAAAAGAAGGGGCGCTTGTGCCTTAACACCTGGTTCTGAAAGCTATAACCAGCTAGTCTTTCAAAGCCTTGGCAGGCACTTTCGCTGTCTTTTTAAAGAGGTGTGTAAGGAAATCACCAGCGTGACCGCCCATTGGCTGGGAGGCGGTGCCGCGAGCGCAGTTGGCGGCAGAAGGTGGAGGTGGTGCGG